TTTTCCCTCGTTCCACGATACGGGTAATGCGATAAATTATTCCGCGTCCCCCGCTTATCTCCTCCTCCTCCTTTTCGCCTTTCTCCTCCTCGTTTCCTCTTCCCCTTTCTTCCACCCGTCTTGCTCTCGTTTAACGTCGCCTCGGTTATTTGGCGCGCGCGTGAGAAAAACCGTCGGGGCGGTGGAGAGTTGGCGCGTGGAAAAACAGGTGGCACGGTTTCGATTAACCAAACGGTGTTGACGATGATCGATCCTGTTTCCGCATCGTTTCACGGGTCAAGTGGACCAAGTGTGGATCTTATAATCTCGAATGTACGATTTTGATATTGGAATCGAAATGCGTTATTATTTCGTGTTTCGCACGGTGGTGGTGAGGAAGGGGTGGGGTTTCTATATCCCCATTGTTATAATTGCATCGCGTGGGCGATCCAGATTCTCGAACGGATTAATTATTATTTGTGCGAGTGTGTATGGAGAGGTAAAAAGATGCCTTGGAGGCAGGAAATGGACACAACGTTAATTCAACGTTGTTGCGGTGTTTGTAGATAATATTGTTTATTTATAGACAACACGTTGTATCCTTTACCGATGATTCAATTTTTCCACGGTTCATTAGTTATTTAACGGAACAGAACAGAAATAACGGCCCGAGGTGTTGTTATAATTAATTAGACACAATGCGGAGCGGGGAAATAATGCGGGTTTTCGCGTTTTATTTAAAATCCTCCCCTCCAACATGGAATGGCAACTTTTATATATTTTATATATTATACACCGTCTCTGTAGAAGTAGCAGCGTGATTTGCACGATTTAAATTTGAATTAGACGTTGCTAATCGTCAAGTTAATCCGAGAATGTGTGTGAGTAAATATTTTGATAAATAAATCTTCGATCAAATCTCGCCCCCTTTATTCCCGTCCATCAAAATTTCGATTTGCAATATAAACATCGAAAACGGATCGTTTTCCCTCGTTGAAACGCGTCACTTCTTCTTCTTTTTTTCTTTTTTTTTTCCATGATCGACCGATCTTTTCTATTTATGCGCTTCCAAGTGGCCACTCGAAAAAGTAGCTAGCTAGTTCTCGAGTGTTCGCGCCTTCGTCGAGGGTCCGTTTCCTGTGTTCGAGAACTTAAAGAACCGTTCTGAAGGAGGCGCTCTCTCGAAAGACCAAACACTTATGGTCACGAATAATCCACGAAATATCCACGAGGAGTGAGTTTAACTTTGGAAAATATCGTTATAGGAAATTCAATTTATCAAGCATAATCCAGACTAAATCTAACTCGATTGAATGAAACGTCGTCCATCGATAGATTGAAGAAAATGCTTTACGTACAAATTGCAAAATTAATCCTCTACAAAGGCACCATGTTTCTAACTATTCCTCTTTGTAAATAAGAAGTAGCACAGTAGTTACCACCTAAAAAGAAGATAAGATTGCACCAATGAACAACCAACGGGATTATTCTCTTCGTTATCTGCTTTCTTTCATCATCATCTACGTTTCTTCGCGAGCGAAACTAAAACTTTACGCTGAATTTTATAATTTGGTTCGAGTATCTCTCCGGAAATGAAACCGACGGAAGGGGCTTTCGTACAAAATTCTAAATATAACAAGTCGCCAGACACCCCCTCAAAGGTGAAGTTTCTCGACGGCTTCTAAATAAAAATTTCATCCAAGTAACGACATCTCTCGATCATCCACCTTGCCGATGCAAAAGTGTGTACGCATTCGCGGTTGTAATATCGCCCAATCGATGCATTTACAATCCCTGAAATGAATGTATACATCGATATTAACAAGCGTTTCGTCCATCTCGAGGATAAAAAGGAGGAGGAAGGGAGAGAGGAATGGAAAGAGAAAAGCGATCGGAAAATCGAGGAGGTCGAGGCGAGAAGAGGAGGCAGATTCGAGGATGGGGAGGGAAAGCTATTAGTGTCGAGCGAATTAAAACGAGTTGGCGAAGAACGTCAAAGTTCTACGGGTGGGCTTTCTCGATGGAAAACTTTCGAGTTCGCGTCCGCTGACCCGGACACGGATTTCTCACGGTAAATGACAAAGGAACAAAAGAATATTCTCGTCCATTTCTTCTTTGTTTCTTTTTTTTTTTTTCTCTTCATTCTTTTTTTTCCCTTTTTTTTTCTTTTTTTTCTTTTCTTTTTTTTTCTTTTTTTTACAAAACAAACGTGTTTACTTCTCTTACTGGTTCTTTGCTGAAATGGAAAGTGGCAATTAATTTAATAATCACGTAACGGATCGCGAATACAATATATATATGTGTGTGTATGTGTATACGTGATACATACATACATACATACATACATACATATATATTGCTCGATCCGATGAGCGTATTTACAATACGATACAATACAATCGATAATAAATCCGCAAGTTTTTTTTTTCTTTTTAGAGAGAGGCCGAGATATCTTTCCCCCCCTCGGTATGACCAGCAGTACATGGTGTCCGGCCACTTTGATGTGCTCGAAAAGTGTGCGTGAATTATTTACAACGTTAGATTATACACAGTATTTACAAGGAGGATCATCCACTTACAAACTAATAAGCGTTTGGCGACCGTTGCTTTTTCCAAAAAAGACAGTCGTGAATCTTAGGAACGAGGTGTGCGTGTGCGTGTGTGTGTGTGTGTGTATGCGCGTTGTACGTGTACATGTTTGTGTATAATATGTCTAAAAGACGCGTCTCCTCTCTTCGCTCTCTCATTCTCTCCTCGACGCGCGCTTCTTATTCTTTATCTCTCTCTCTCTCT